GTGAGCTGGGTGGCAGGCCATCAAGGAGCAAAGAGTAAAAAACAAATACAGCCATGCTTCTTCGTTATTTTTGATACTTTACTATAGCTATTTTCAGACAGCGAGTGATAGTTCTGTACCACAAGTACCAGTTGAACAGATATACATGTGTGTGTGTGTGTGCGTGTGTGTGCGTGCATGTGTGTGTGTTATGGATATGTGGTGCTGGAGATGCACTTGATCATACATGTAAAATTCATGAGCTATTAAACACATTATAAATATGGAAATATATGTAAACACTGATTAACTCTTCTAAGGATACTCCTCTGTAGACCTCGGTTACTTGCTTTCTTACCCCCATGGTCATGACTGTAAAGGGTGATGTATAGCTATAGAAAACACTGTACATTAGGTTCAAATGACTGGCCAAGCAGAGTTAGTTCTAACATTCCTGACCAATTGTTAGAAAAAGAAAAATCCAGAGGCATGGAAAAGTGTGGCTAGAGTACTGCTTATGAGCCGTGATTATGTATATTTTATGTTCTGTTGTTATTGGAAACTGTTCTTGAGATCCTGGGAGCTTGACAGTCTGACAAACGCAGGGAAACCTATTAAAAAGCAATCTGAAATGCATTTCAGGTGAAATCACTTTTACCAAAGTGCAGATGACTTCATTTATCCTAAAGATATAATTAGAACGGAGACTGAATTGGCTTTTCTCTTTATGCAATATATTAAAAATATAGACTTCCGTATTCTAGCATCAGTATGCGTATTTCCTTTTTTAAAAAAAAAAAATCCCAAGTGCGAAAGAGTGGTTCTCCTTCCATGAACCTCTGCACTCTGTATACTCACAGCTCTCCAAATGGGCTCTCGGAGAAAGCAGAAACACAAAAAAAGACACGGAAGGTGTTATTCCTGTTAACTTTGCACACATCACACAATTAAGATAGTGATGAATCACACATTACTGTACAAAACTTTATTATCCAAGGAAAAATCAAATTTTCTCTGCTTAAGGTAAGGAGACAAATTTTCCCACTTAGAAAAATTCATTTTCTTTTAGCATTTGTTCAGGAAAGAATAAAAATTTCACGTTGAATACACAGATTCAATTATTACTGAATAATCTTAAAGTCATACCATAGAAAACATTTATCTGCTAAACTAACATAAGGTTATTCATTTGGAAAATGCTTTAGAATGTGTTCTTACTAAGAGACCCGTAACCTTTTTTATTTTCAAACCATAAAATAATAGAAAGGAGAAAAATACGCTTCTGTATGGCACATACTAAGTAGGTCTAGTGTGATGGTTTTAGGTACATAAGTTTTGTGACGGAGCAAGGTTCTTTATTAGGAATAGTCCTACAATGTAATTTTTAATTATTTGATAAATTCAGACTTGGCTAAACAGCCAAAGATAAAATCTCAAAGGTAAAATTTATTTTACTGTTTAAGTAACTGAAAATTGTGTAAAGTCATAAGGATAGTGTGGTTTTGATTTATAGTACTTACCTGTTGTCAGAGTTTATTAAACTTAGAAAAAGAGAATACACTGCAGCCATAAAAGACTGCAGGCTTCCTAATATGTGCCAATATACAGCTGTCAATTAAAGGCTGAGATAAACTTTGCACAATACTGTAAAATCTAGAACAAAACATCTGAGAAGCAATTCATTTGAAAAATAGTTTACACTTAAGAAATGACAGTTAAAAAACCTGTTTGAGATGAAACAAGAAATGAAGAATTTCTAATGACTTTCCCGCTCAGTAGGTGATGCGCTGCAAGAAAGTGGCGGCAGGTCTGTACATAAGAGTGCTGTCCCTTGAGTCTTGTAATGACGATTAACCTAAAAGAAATGCGCTGCACATTGGAGGCAGGTGTTTTTAATTCCCCTATTATATTTCCTACAAAACACTTGGCTCTTTCATTTACTTACATGACACAAGAAAAGTGTGCGCCATTAGAAGCAAGTTGACCTGTAAAGAAGAGAGTCAAAGTGGTTCGGTTAGACTGCGTCTCCACACAGCAGGGCCGTTGGAAACATAACATCAAGGAAATTAAGCGCTGCAGTCTATCTATCGCTCTATGCAGAACGAGAGAAAATTTTCTGATCTCTTTGCTAAGCAATAGAAAAGTGCTGGGTAGCCACATAGACCTTTTCCTCATGCAGGGGCAAGTTTAACCTCATCGCTGTGAGACATTGGTGAAGCACTTTGCAATCCATCCTTCCCCACACCGCTCCCCCGATTTTTTTCATGGCTCATTGGCTGAGTGCTGTCAATTGCTTGTAAGTTTAAAGTCGTCACGAACAAAATGTAGAATTCTTGTGACCAACATAATTTTAGCAAATGAAGTAACCTTGGTAATAAATCAGTGGTAAGTCAAAAGGGTACCAATTAACACTTATTTCAAAAGCCGTCCATAACAATGAGAATGTGAAAGACATGAAGGCTTTCATGATCTCCCACAGAGTCTGTATGGACAGATAGTGTCTCAGGCTTGACAGATGCACAGAAGTGATGAATTTGCATCATGTGAAGCTTACATTTACAGTGTTGAAGCCCCACTAATATTAGCAATTCCTTTTAGAAGCCAATGTCTTTTAGCCTCCGTCCTCTTGAAGATCGATTGCCACTCATAATTTTTCCCAGGGTTTTCACATGAGACGATACACACAGAGTGTCTGGAGTTTAATTGATATGCACAGGCTCACATTTTTGATCCTTCCCTATAATTCTCCATTTAGGAAAATTCTGAACAAAATGAAACCCGCTATTTCCTCTTTGTTACGGCATCAGCGTATGAACTAGGAATAACCTGAAAGACAAACTCGTCAAGCAGTTTTGTACTCAACATAAAAAGTCTCTAAAGTGTGAAATGTGAAATATATGTAAAACTCACATTAAATAGAGTAGTTAAATAACTTAAAGAAATTTAAGTAATAAAAGTCTGCAGTGAAATATATGAGCATCCTAACCTGAAAACCTGTTTTTAATGACTCCTTTCAAAATTTTCTAAAAGCTTTGTAATGTTTCTTTAAACTTTAAAACAAAATTTCATGGCATGAAATTAAAAACAAAAACTGGTAGAGTCCATGTTTGTTAGACTTCTATTGAATCCATCCCAAAATGAAATAAAGTATTTGATTTTAAAACTTGCTAATTAGTTCAAGACAGTGAGACTGGGGGCTAATCTTATATAATTAAAAAAGTTGAAAATTTAGCATAGTTCATGAGAATATTTTTGTACTCAGGTTCACATGCACTAATTTGAAGAAATAAATTATTCCCTAAAATAGGAATTGCTGAACCTTATTGAAAAAAATAAATGATTTTTAAAATCAACTAATAAAGCTAACACTATTTTGGCAAAATTGAGATACTTTACAAGTGGGTTAAACAACATTTCTGAAGGTTAACAATCACTAAATTGCACAAACAGCTTTTCACAAGGATAGTTTCTGTCCTGATTTTGATTCTAACTATTATTGTTTAAGTTTTATGGCATTATTATAATAATTTTGAAATGATACTTATTTCTAAAATTACAAGCATTGTGAAATCAAGCAGTGAAAATCATCAACATGTTTGGGAATTAGTACAGAAAATAGTTGGGTTTCATACCTAAAAATGATCAAACTGTTCTCCTGTAGGATGGAATTCTGTCTCATGTTGGCTTAATTCCAACTGGTTCATGAGTTCTTTACATTTTTCATGGGGATATATTTAGACCTATTTTCTACCATCCTCCTTACTCTCACCACATGCTCAGTTACCCAGCCTGTTCAATAAACCTTTTTTTATTGCCTCAGTTGAGTTCTGGACAGCACATAACTATCAATATCAAATGATAATTCAGCCATGATCTCTGAAATATGAATATGAAAGAGAAATATGCTATGGAGCTCTTGGCTTCTCATCATCTATGCTTTTACTATTGTATATAGCATTTATGGATAAGTCACAAGAGCATTCACAAAAATATTGGAGCTACATTCTCCAACCACCTAGAAGACAATTCTTGAAATATTCAATTAGCAGTGGATTTCAAGTAAGCATGGTATTGCATACTTTGTTATAACTGTTGCATCTGATTCGGGACCACAGTTCTGCAACATTAATTGTTCACAGGATAGTTTCCAAAGATGTACACAAATATTACTGAATATTGTTTCCAATTATTTAGACGAGAAAGCCTTCTGTGTGCATTCAGACCATCTGTAACGGTTATCTCTTCCCACTATCAGAAATATGTGTTGAAAATAAATCAAAGTATCAGAGTCTTAAGGTTTCATTTATACTATGTTCAATAACATATCTGCAAAGGGAAGTGTAAACAATAGACTAAATCTGTGTCCTGATATTTGACAATGTACACTGTCTAAAAAACATGGTCATTAACATGTGCATCCAGTAGTTTAAAATCATACAAATTTGGAATATAAATGTTAAATATAATAGAGCCATTGTGGATGTGTTCAATCATATATTCTGATGCTGGTCTAGAACTTGTGAAGTCTCAAGATAATGAGATGGAAAGATGAAAATTAGAGACACAGCTGTATGTTAGTTGTAGCCCATCTATGTTGAGAGACTTAGGTTATATCACAACTAAGGTTTTAGAGGTGTGAATGGCTGTTCTCAGCATCACTTCATCTTCAAGAAGTCAAACATGCATTGGGTTTGGGGTAGAATCAAATCGGCATGTGTAAAAGTTATTGATAATGGAATGAGTTTTACAAATTCACAGCATAACATTAATCGCCTTGATATATACATATATATATATTATATTCATATATATATATTATATATAATGAAATACCAGAACATCCAAATGTAATATATCTATCTTTAAATCATTTGAAACAAACGGGATCAAAGCCCAGTAGAAGTGCATGCAAATGAATTTTAAGAAGTGAAGCCAGTGTTATAGATGTCAGTCTTCTGAGCTTGAAATTGTGTAGTTTTTCAACTTTGAATACTATAAGAAAAATTATGGAAAAGAATGTGTAAAACTGGGGAAAACATTTTATTTACAAGTTACCTGGCAATAATGAATACCCAAAATGGCATATAACCTAGTATTTTCTAATTAAAACAAAGTTTTACTGTTATACATATATTGGCACAGGAAATTTTTGAGACCAGATGACGAAAATTTTCTATATGTTGTTATTTCATGTAGATAATTGATTTGTAAAACACACAAGAGAGAAAGATAAAAACTCTAAGTAGAAAATATAATTTTATAGCTACATTTTACATAATATTCCAAGAGATATCATTGGTTATTTTATTATTTTGAAAATATTACTTATTTAAACAACTAAAAAAAACCTTTAAAGCCCAATATAATTTCAACATTGAAAAGGTTAAATAACTGAAAAAGAAATGTGTAGAGCAAAAATGCAATCTCAATGCCATTGGTACCACTATACTGTTGAACAAGTATTATATGAGGTATAAACATTGCACATAAGTATACACTGAGGATTTAGATCATAGCTAAACCAGTTGTGTTCAAGGCCACTAAAATACCAAAAGAGGATTATGACTACTAACAGTGGGGAGGAAAAAGAATTAAGAAAGCCACAAAATTCAAAGTTTGAAATGATGACTAACTTAAAATAATAAAAAAAGCCATTACTCTGAATTTTCATTACTTTGGGAAACAAAAAATATCACACATGTCTACCTGGGTCAGCTCTATTCCAGGGATGAATTTATCAGTGGTATGACGGGATATTTGGGGCCTTTGTGACCGTATACTATTTATGAGCATTATGTTTTAGAACTTGCTCACTTCCAAGTGGTAACCTAAATTTCAGGTTCCACATTAAGCATGGCCATGACTCTTTAACACCATATAGTACTTAAAATTCATGTATTTTGATTGAATGAAGTGTTAAAAATTGTAAGTGTAAGAAATAGGCATTAATTGCTTATTTGATAGGACTCAAATTTAGTTGTAACTTAGTCTATGGATTGGAAAATTGATATTCATTTCTATGAACAAAAAAGTTTTAGGATTCCTGTTTTATAAATATTTTCCCCAGCAGTGAGTAATGGTCTCTGAACCCATCATTTCAGTGATTTTCAATATTTGGAAGAGCTGAACACCACAGGAAAATAGAAAGTAGTTTCACAACGGTTGACCCAATTATAGTGATTGTAAACAGTATTTTACAATGCCAAATTTAAAGTATGTTAAATCTGAAGCAAGTAACTGGCCTACTGGGTGAGAAAAACCACTGAAATATAATTGCGTTATACACAGCCATGGAAATGGCTCTTCAAAATTTCCTGGTAGAACAGGATCGTTAATTCCCCCAAAATTTGTACATTAACACAGCATAAAAGCGACTTTGTGTCTTCAGGGAGGGCACAACTGGCATAAAAGGTCCTTAATGCTAACAGACCTGTTGAGGTATGGTTGCTTAATGGAGGATAGGAGCTATACACCCAAAAAGATCAACACACAGAGAGAATTTAACTCTGCACTATGTAAGATAAGAAAGACAAAGAAGCTATAAATAAACACTTTCTTAGTACCAATCATTCTAACTATACACAAAATTGGTATATGCAAGAGGAATGTTGATCAAAATAATGACAAAAGTTGGTGAATGGCTGACACAGATTAAGAGAATTTATAGAGTCGTTAGCTTACATATATATTTTGTTAGGACTCATCTTCATGTAGTTGAATAGATCATTCTTCAGGACATAGATGAAAAAGCAGTTAAGAAAGTGAGTTATAAAGTAGGAAGGGTAGTATTGAGAAAAATTATATGAAGCCTTTTCCAAGTGTCCACACATTTATAAAAAAGAGTTAAATTTCCTTTCATATGGGGATATTCTTCACACAGGTGCATGTACAACATATTATATACATATGGAGCTTCCTTATGTACATATGAACATGTACATACTATCTATACATCTTTGCAAGTGTATACACAGCTGTCACTCAAAGAAAATGAGTTAGCAACACAATCATCGTTGTCAGACAATCCAAGTGTTGAAACAAATAACACAGACTGTTTAGAGAGCCACTTTATCTCTCTGTTGTCCATGGCTGAGAGTAGAATTCCCTTCTGAAGTTGTCCCTTGCACTGCAACACTGATTGTCGTAGATAATCTTTGTGCTTTCGCATAATGCCCATCCTGGATGTACATATATTCACACACAACATCGGACATGTTAAATAAGCATGCTGGAACACAGGGCAGAACCATATATCCATGCACAAAATATTCTGATTTTCCAAACGGACTGCAACATCAACATGCACCACTATCATATTTGGTCCTGAACAGCAAGGGATGTAGAGCTGAAGTAGCCAGGGAAAGCTGATGCTTGCGAGAGTTTCTATACAGAGGAACATCCAGTAGAGAAACAAATGTTGAGAGAATGGGACAAAGAAAAATAACCACCACCCAAACCAACGACAACAAAACATCCTCCCACACATTATCGCTGAAATTCTGGCTAGCCTCTTTATTCCACAGAAAGCAGGTCCTCTCAAAATTCTGAGTTGAGTTCCAACAGGTGATACATATTAGTGCCTCATGGCTTTTCCCAGCCATTGGAACAGCTCATCTTGATAAAGCCTTTTCCAGCGCACATTGGCTTCCACGGTTTCCACAGCTCGTGAGAATGAGGCAGAGGCTACGCCATCGTAGGTCTTCATGAAGTTCTTTAGCTGGAAATGGAAGTTGAGCATGGTGAATCTGTGTGTATTAAGATGAACTCACATGGAACATACACAAATGAGAACGCATTTGGGGATGAAGTTTTACTTAGAAACCTAGGACAAACTTGAATGAACCCTCTAGCTCCATTTGTTTTGAGTTATATTTAAAGGTCATACACTGAAATATGGCACTCCAAATCTCCCATTGCCTTTGCTGTGTAGTGCTAACATCTCTAGCATGTTGGTTGTGATGACAGGACTTGACCATATTACTTTTCACTTGAAGGCCACATTTGCTTAACCTACTGGGTTAACTCAGGCCTAAGCAGATGCTCTCTGGGATGACATTTTAATATTTTAGGACCAATATCATGTTATGGGATAATGCTTTTGTACACTGTAAAGATTTTTCACTCATATTGGTTTAATAAGATGCTGCTTGGCCAGTATCCAGGCAGGAAGTATAGGCAGGGAAACCAGACTAAGAGAATTCTGGAAAGAGGAAAGGCAGAGATGCAGTCAATAGGCAGACGCAATGCTGCATTGAGAAAAGTTACCAAGGAATGTGGCTAAACATAGGTAGGATTTATGTGTTAATATACATTGTAAGTGCTAGTCAATAATAAGCCTGAACTAATAGGCCAAATACTTTATAATTAATATAAGCATCTATGTGTTTATTTGAGGCTGAATGGGGTGGAACCAGGCAGGACAGAAATTTCCATCTACAATATCTCTTCCCATATATCATAATAACACTGTCAATTTCTGAATGGGGATCCTACAAAAGCAATGAAGAGTAATTCTGAATGAAAAACACACTGATCACATCACCTCTAATTGCTGTTCCTAATTTAAATCACCCTGCCTGTGGTACTTCCAAACTCTATTCTCAGATTTGTAGATTTGAGTCTCATTCACCAATTTCTCCTTTCTCCACGTGTGGCCAATATATAAAAGATTTCTGTTCTTTTTCTTTTCTTTTTTTTTTTACAAAACCAAAACTTACATTTTATTGATTGACTTAGTACTCCTTCATGAAGTGGATTGGATTGGTAACGTATTCATGAGAAGTAAAGAAACTATAGCGGAACATGTTTGAAATGACAATAAACACTGCAGGGGGTGCAAAGTATGCACGAGTTAGATGATAGGACTGCAAAGTGGTAAACTCTGAACAAGACACAGCCATTGCAATCATGCACCCACAGAGCTGCAGTTACTGGCAAATGACCTGTGAGATGTTGGCCCCTTCATCAGCCATTCAGAGGTGGAAGGGATCTCCTAGGACCCTGCACCTTACTGCTGAACTAATTGTTTACTGTTAGAGCTCTGAAATGAAATAAGCATTGTCTTTAGTTATGTTAACCTCTGCCTCCCCAGCCCCAGCAAGTCCTCTGAGCTCCAATAAAAACTTACAAAGCTATGGTCACACAGATGACCTTGGTTAAACTCAGTGAGTCACCAAATGCAACAAAAAAGTCATGGGGTGTAGGAAAGAGATTTGTAGAAAGCAAGGATAGACAGAGGTTGGGAAGAGAGAAGAGGGTCAGAAGTAAGAGTAACCATTCATGCATGAAATTGTGAGGAACAAATTTAATTGATAAAAACACATTTAAAAAAGAAGTTTTCTCGGTGGGCGACATGATTTACTTTGAAATGCAAAGAAAAAAGAGTAAGTGGGCATTACAACTCCATGATCGCCAAATGTAGTTTCTTATTTTACTCATAGATAACTGTAGAGAGTAGAGGAGTCCTGAGTAAGTAAAGTACTGTGCAGAAGTGTAATTTGATGTGGGTACAGACCCCAAAACAAACTGTCCCGTGGTAAATTGTCAAAGCCATTACCCATATGAATAATGAGATGGCACAAGTTTTTATTGGGAGTTTGAGTGTGAGTGTTTATAAATAATTGATTAGTATGTGCAAATGCTAGGGACTGTAGTGTTTTCCTCCTGAATATTTACAGTCTGAGACTGATAGCGTGTAAAGACCTTCTACTGACCAACTAACCCGTCCCCTGTGCTATGTCTAATAAACCAGATGAGATTCCAATTTGTGGTAGAAGTGGTAGGTAGCATAAGAGAACCCCTCCTGATCCCAGCTTCCTATACATCATTACCTCACTTTCCATAGCTAGAGTTCTAGGACCCAAGTCACACAGAACACAGCAGATAATAAAATCACAATTTAATTTACCTATTAAAAATAGGTTGGTGGTATTGTTTCGAAGACCAGTTCTAATTACAAGGCATGTTCAACATAGCAAAGAGCATCAGAAACTGACTGTAATACTAAAAGTTCATTTTTTTTCTTTAAATAGAGAAAATTCTTAGTCATGTTCTAAAAATAAGCAGAATGGGACTTAAAATTATCTTCAGTGTCAAAAGATTACCAAAGTAACTAGATTATAGAACAAAGGGACAGAGCTATGAAAACTGGGTGATTAATGACATTACAACCAACCAAATAGATTTAGAAAAGATAAGGAAGAGTGTATTATTTAGTCAGAGAATTTAAAGCTGAAACTTTTAAGTGCTTTGTTGTAATTATTACCGATAGAAGTTCTCACTTAGAGAGTTCATATACTCTGAGAAGACTCAAGGAATTATCTGAAGATTAAACACTAGCAGTTTCACTTTTAGTTCTGTGTGTCTTAAGAAACTGGCAGCCCACCAACAATTACAGTGCTAACAGACAGACGTGAAAAATCAACTTGTAGCAAGGAAACATTATGTGGTGTAATTAGTGTGGGGTGTGATTCATCACCTGGGGGTGCCACATGAAGGCTCTGCCAGGAAGGAAAATGCAGGGCCTCTAGAGAAGAGCCAGGCAGGAAAAGTGAAGCATGGAACCTTTGAAAATGCAGTTAATTCTACATCTCCAAATTAATTCGGGTTTTAGTTCATGGACAGCTTGATTACGACAGTGTTGCTTGATTACTCAATACTGATAGACTTTCTGAAAGTTGATCTGAAAACTTTGACAATAGAAAACCATGTCACGGAACTATATATTTGACATGACATCAAAATCACTGTATGTTAAAGCAAGCATAAAATATTGTATACATAACTGAAAATTATTTTAGTATCATAAAATAAAAGTACTATTTGACTAAAATTATAGCTATTAAGAAAAAGAGGTCTTGTCTTTTTCTCCTTGTTGGCTAGGTTCTCTGGTGTGGTGGTCTATAGGCTGTTTTTTCTTTGTTATATATCTAAAAGCCACTTACGCGTGAATACATATTATATTTGTCTTTCTGGGTCAGGGTAGTCTCATTCAATTTTTTTTTCTAGATCTAACTATTTGCCTGTAAATTGGGAGTGTGGGGGTCATGAGCAAAGGTAGAAAAGGAGAGAGGGAGGAAACAGATAAAAATAAATAACTCAATAAAAACAATTTTAAAAAGAGGAAGAAAGAATTGATTGACAGTATATATTTTTTGCACATTTCCAACCATTTAGGCACTGCTCTGTACAAATATATGCCAGACACTCCATACACTGATTGTACCCACAAACACATTCACATGAAATATTTGGATTAAGTTTGAAATTTAGTAATGCAGTGGTACATTTTCATTTAGACAGATTCTATGACGATTCAGCAATCAATAATGCATTTTATTCATTTTTGAATTGTGTGTTTATTATAGAACATGACAACATAGTACATTAAATTAATATTACAAGTCAAGGAAAAATGCACGCACTTCTAAAAGTGTGTTTTCCAATATTGTTCCTAGGCATTCATTGAACATTCCAGATAATTATCAATGGTAATTTGGCAAATTTCACTTACAGAAATGATGTGGGATTTCCCTCATACGTTATGGATATGTTTTATTACTGTTGAGGTAATAAAGTAGCTGCTTCAGCCTATAGCAGGGCAAAATATAGCCAGGCTAGAAGAGATATAAAGAGATAGTTGGCGGAGTCAAGGAGATGCTATGTAGCTGCTGAAGGAGAAAGAGGCCAGGCACCAGCCAGAACCTTATCAGTAGGTCACAGCCTCATGCTAATACACAGATTAATAGAAATGAGTTAATTTAAGATGTAAGAATTAGCTAAAAATATGCCTAAGCTATTGGCCAAACAGTGTTGTAATTAATATAGTTTTTGTGGTATTATTCAGGTGTGGGCATCTGGGAAAAAAGCAAGCAGTCTCCACCTACACATGAAGATGCTCAGGTCTCTTCTCGAAACAAGCTGAACGCTTGAAGAAAACTCCAAACCACTGGCTTGACCATGCCTGGATCCAAAGTCAGACTCTCATGGAAGAGAACTCTGTAGACAACGTGACGAGTGGATCTCCAGAGTTTCATTTCGTAAATTATGTTTGAGGTGGACTCATTCTCCTTGTGAGCTCAGGGATCCTGAGGTGACTTGCACATTAGCAGAGAAGCTCAGTCATCAGAGCATATCTGTTACACTTTCTACGGTTGCCATAAATTGATCTTGTGGCCAGTATCCCTCAGTACTGCTAACAGAGAATGTGTGCTCAGAGCCTTCTCACGGGGCCCTGAGGGACCTGTGGTGTCTGGCCGAGCTTCCTTGTCTGTGCAGGTTCAGCAGTGACAAAGGCACTTAGCCTCCCACTCTGCTTGTTTCTCGGGTTCTTTGCTAGATTTTTCTGCCTCCATTAGGTTTTCTCTTAACTGGGCTTCGAGATATTTATCTGTGATACTTTTACTTTGAATAAGTGTAGATACTTTTGCAAAATAAAATTTCAGTGTTGTTCACATCCACTGATTTTCTTAGCACAATTTCTAGGTGTGTTTATTAATCTACCTTTTAATAATTGTTTAACATTGAAAAACATCTTATTTAAGGGTATCCTAGACTCTGGCTTCACAAAGGACTTTAAGAGAGAATTGCAAAGCATAGTATAATCTTGATAGTTAAAGAACTAAATAGAATTAGCTATTGGTCTATTATGAAGTAAAAGACTTCACCCTTTAAGTTGTAAATGGAGTCTCTCTGATGAAGAAGATGCATAGTCTTATACAGCAGGACTGCGTGTTAGGTTCACAGAAGAACCAAATAGACATTAGTCAGAAAATTACAAAGGTCTCTGAGGTTCTATGAGGTTATGTGTCTGCTAGTCTGAAAAATTAAGGAAAGGATGAATTGCCTCAGGCAGCAATATAAATCAAATTGCTAATTCCTTATAATTGAGAATAAATCCAGTCTTAAGTGTTAAGACTGTTTGAGGGAAGGGATCATAAAACAGAGAATTTGTTTATCTACTTAATACTCATCAAAATATTGAAGCTTATAATGGTCATTAAAATTTTAAATAGGTTTATTTTCAGGGGGCTGGAGAGATGGCTAAGCTATGGAAGGCATATGGCTCTATCGTTCTTGTAGTGGACTCCAGAGAGGTTCCCATCACTGTCCTCAGTCAGCTCTGGTTTAAGAGGCTCTGAAAGCTTATTCTGGCCTCTTGGGTGCACCTGCACTCACACCACATACCCACATACAAACATATACAGATCGCATAATTAAAAATAAAAATATTAAAAGCAATGTCATAATTCCCATAGGTGCTGAGCCCCTTCAGATCTACAGGCTTAGCAACTGTAAGGTATAACCTCCAAAGGAAGACATTGATCTTGCTTAACACTTTTTGCTTAAGAAAGGAGTGAGTGAGAACAGAAATTAAGCCCTATCTCACTGTAAAATAACATTCCCTCCATTCTGCAGAAAATGGCTAAGTAGTAGAAGTATGGAAAGGCTTCCGGCAGAACAGCGAAACGGGAAAGTAAGAGCAAGCCAAGTCCACAGTGAAATGACTCATTGCTCACTCCACTGAGAGCCTGCATTGTTCAGTTATCGCTTTGAAGATAATGGACTAAAAGCCAGAATTTAGCTTCATTTCTGAAATGGCAACTTTCATGATGGGGTAGCTTGCAACATTAAAATGGCAATTAATGAAAGGATAGAAATAAAATGTGTAAGCAGAAGGCAGAAAGAGGTTTGCGTGTGATGAGTTTAACTAAATCTCAATTTAAAACCTGATTTTTGTGACCTTTGTATTACCGAAACAGGAACTATATAAACGGTAGGACAGTGAAAGAAGGGATAAAGGTGAAAGGAAACCAGGAGACAAGAGGGAAACACAATGGACAGGGTGAAGGGGTGGGAATAAGGGAGAAACTTCTGTGCTTCCTTCAATGTTTGTGGGGGCTGTGGCTAAATCGATACTTTATTTCATGATTATTAAATATTAAATCATGATATTAAAAGCACTCGGTTTAAATGTAAAAAATAATGAAAACAATTATGATTTGCCCATGCCTTCTGTTTCCTACAGGCACATAAAAGTTCTCTTCGTTTGGTTCCTCTCATTAAAAAGAAAAAAAGTGAGAAAAATATTCTGGAATTTCAAAACTAAATCCTTCAGGGTTGAGAACACACATGGCAGGGGAAAGGCTGACATTCAAATAACAGGAATCCAAGCTTTAGCTCAGCACAGCATTCCTTATGACAGATCCTAAATAGTGAAAGACATGCTCTCAGGAAACTGAGCAATATTAGAAGATGTGACAGACGTGCCAGGTCCAATGCTTCTAAAGGAATGCCGCTCAGGGGGGATCATCTGTGGGTCACAGCATCCAGCCAGTCTCCTGTGAAAACTAATGAAACTAGGAATTTCTATGCTAAATATAAGCTGTATGCTGTGGATATCAGAGGAGGAAAAGGCAGCATCAATAATCATAACTGAATAAAAGAACCTTTATTTTGTTATTGTTTTCCTGTGTGATTGATAGTTCCACTTCAGATCCTTTTCTAGTACTGAGAGGAGTTAATGGGGGGAAGGAAGACCCCTAGATAACTTACATATTGAGAGATATAGTTGGGAATTGATAAAATAGATATTTCAGAATCTGGACACAAATTTATTAAAAATTCAAGCTTATTTTCATTAATAAAATTAATTTGTAATGGAGCCAAACAATCTATCTTAGGCAAACTATTGCTTTCAGTATGTGTTATCAGCAGTGGTGTACCTTCCTCAAATATGAATTTATTTCATTTAAAAGACTGGATAGCTGTTAGCAGGCTACTGTGTCTACATGATTACTCAGACTTTTACTGTGTGCCTCAGCATCAAGCACAGTCCCTAGTGGACATGTAGTCATTGGCATAGTCGTTAGTGATTGGTTTATAAACTGAGTTCACATAATCACTTGAAGAGCAGCAGCTAGATCTAAGAGCTCTGGAATGTGTGGTACCCAACTACAAAATTAATTTCATTTGAGCTACCTTCACAATTGTTTGTAGTCATTCAATGCTTAATATGTTACAGATTTCTTTGTAGGTAATGGATTAAGAAAATTAGTGTGGGCATGTATGTGTGTGTTGTGCATTTGCACATGTGTGCACACGTGCATGCATACATGTGTGTTCATGTGCATGCGTGCATGTGAGTATGGAGAGTGTACGGGGGAAAGAACTTGAGTAGATCTAATGTATAGAAGTAGCTGAAATAAATCTGTAATTTAATGGTTTATATAAGAAGATTGTAACAAGACTTTTACCTCTTTAAGCTCCCCTTCTGTATTAAGAAATTCTGTAACTCCACTGATAAGTTTGGAATTCATGAATAAGGCTTCTCCATACCTACAAAGATAAAAGAAAACAGTCTTAATGTCTATCTAGGTAGTAATTTAAGCAAACTAGCTAAAACAATTTTTGCAGTCATTCCCACGACCATCAGTAACCACCAGCTCTCAGGGAAGTACTGGCTGCTCCTCTCAGGAGGGAGAGAGGCAAAGAAGCATTTTTTGCCATGGGGTTCCACCAGGTCCACCTAGCCTGCTGCAGTGTTTCAGAGACCTCTGAGTGTCACTGAGTCTGCCAAAGTCCAGGCCTTTAGAATTGGATTCAGGCATTGCTGTTCTATTTATAAGCCAAGACCTGAGAAAGAGGCATTTATAAATGATCTAGTGTACCACAACCTAGATCACTGTAGGTAAAAAGTCTCCCAAGAAATGAATAAAAGCAAGACCTGTTCAACCACAACCAGTATGTCACACGGAACCAGTATGTTACACGGATTCTGTGGTCCGACTACTCATAAAAGATCTTGGAATTCTAATTATGTTTCAGAAACTGAGGCAAAGTTTACAAAAAATATTTTCATAAAAGAGCATCAGTTACATTTATTATTAAGTTATCTAGTTACCCAAATATTTAGTTATTAAAATATTTAGTTATTTATTATATTCTGTAGTTCTTGTACTATGAAAACCATTTATTGACTTACAATCCCTAGATGATGTATATCTGTAAATGGGAAGTTCTCACGTTGTCAATTTGCCTCTACTTTGTTAAGGCCATCTATAACAGGTTTCCTGCTCTTAGCACCAAAAATAACCAACAAGTACACTGGAGTTTTTGGAAGCAAAGACTCTGCCATTATTATGATTAGATGTTTTCTTTTGTTTCCTCAACTTGCAGGCTCTTAAGTACTTGAGTTGATGAAGGACTTAGTCTGATATCATTGAAGAAGGGGATCAAATGGGAGGATTGCCATGATGAGAAAAGGACGTCTTCATCAAAGCAAATAGATGGAAACTGATATTATAAAGTGCTGGGAGCCATGGTACAATCCCCCAGTCTCAGCATTTGGAAGACAGGGACAGGGAGAATGATACAAGAGTAAGGATAGACTGGTCTACTTAGTGAGTTCTAGAATGGCTAAGAGTACATGGTGAAACTGTCTCAAAGAAGTAAGCTACCAGTCACTTCAATACTAATACAAGTGACTATTGTTAAGGTCATATGGTCAGAAAAGTGGCTGACCACACAAGAAGACAATTCACTTCCTTCTAAGGGAGATCCAATCATTTTCCTTTACACAACCAGGTAAGGAAGAATAGAACACACACTATCTTGTACTTTATGTAGTTGAAGACTTAGACATGGAAAGAGATAATTCTCATTTAAGGTAACTAGATACAGCATTGATGAAATGATACACTGAATTCAGAGACAGTCTATAGCTCTTCATTGTAGCAAATGCATATAAACGAGTACAATGTTGTTCTGAGAAAGAAATGCCAAGAGGAAGTGTGACATAATCAAAGGCAAGCAAGTGTGAAACTGAAGTGTGTAAGTGAAGACAGCTGAAATCAATGTGCATCAGAAGGGCCTAAGCTGTGAAACTGGGCCAGAGGACAAGTCTTGAGAGGTAAGCGGAACACACATCATGAAGCTCCTATGCTTAGTGTGGCAGAGAATCGTGGATAATTTCATAGTAAGGAGATATCAACATGTTCTGGAAAACAGATAAATAGATAGATGGATGGATGGATGGATGGATGGATGGATGGATGGATGGATGGATGGATGGATGGAAAAGTTACATGTGCATATATATGGCTGTAAGTGTGGTTAAAGATTCAGGAAGATGGAAGGTTGCTCTAAGACAGCTGGGGGGATAAACATGTGGTGAAGGAGGATGTCTATATAGACTTCAGTTGTGAGACGTGAGCAATTGGTGAATACTTATCTGCCTTACCAAAAAGAGGAAGACAAGCATGAAATTATAGGCTCCAACATTATAGGTTTGGTTTTCAAGCGCACTCCACAGGGGACCACAATGTGAATGATTCTACTACATGGTAATATCAGGTGAAAGGTGTGAGTTAAGAGAAGCTCTTCTGGGAGCAGTAGAAGCAATGAGAGCGCATGACACCTAAAACCAGAAGGAGCCTGTAAAGTAGAATACAATATCCCAGACAACCCTTCCCATAAGCCCTGATGTTCAAGAAATAATGGTAAAATTGGAACTGGTAAAAGCACTCCTTGTAAAGAGAAACACTGCTGTATTCGTGGACAGAACTCTTAGTCTTTCTACCTTTTGAATGGTGGTCATAGGTTCTCAGAGACAAAATAAACATGATGAGAAAGAGAGGAAAGAATAGGTAGGTGTGCAGATAACACTGAGCTATGTCTATGAACCAATGAAAGGTCGGTGTGTGTATGAAATCCTTTACACTGAAATGCTCATATGTATTAGTTTCACCTTCCTGCCTGCTACACGACACATTATAAACACAGTGGCAATGCAAGCTCTAATCTTCCTATCATTCTACGATACAAACTGCAAACACAAAAATGTCACTGTGACTTACAGGTATACCAGCAGTTTCTGGACAATGTGCAGCTATAGACAGAAATGCGTGTAACTGTAAGAGCACATTCTGATGAACGTGTTATGCACGGATAACTGGTAAAGGACTGAAAAAACACACAATAGTTTTTACATATGCTTTCAAGAGACCAAATGTTAGGTCTGCTTACTATCTGGAAAACAAAATTCATGTTGAGGAGTAACATGCAGCATTTACTTGCTCCATAATAGATTTAATTTTAAAATACCATAGAGATTATCAGAGGCATAAATTAACATTTATTATAATATATTTAAATGCATAATGAAATATTTTCTAAAATTGAAGCTGAAGAATTCTCACCACGAAACAAGATATCCTGGGAATTAATTCTACTGCAGCTGGAATAATACAATGTTCCAAATGATTAATGAGACTTCTCCGTATCACTATTTTATTGAGGTGTTTTATGATATTTACATTTAAAGAGAATTTAAACCATTCAACAAGACTAAAGTTCTTTGTTGGAATTGTAGTTATATGTGATTTATGTTTTTTTCTATAATACATACATAATACACAAGTTTTATGAAAGGATTTCAACTATCTAGAATTTGATGAATTTCCAAGTCAAGTTGCTCTGCTAAATAATTCTTAGTCTCTCCATGCTTTCACATTAATTAAGATTATCAATCTTTATTAAATGAGAAATGTTAGAGTCATGGTAAAAAAAGATCATTGTGAATTTCAAGGAATGGCAACAACCATCTTTGCTGAATTTTATAAAGTCTAATTTTATCATTTAGTTCACAGCTCTAACAAAAACCTTGGGTATCTATTCCTCAAACGTAGGCTTTCATTTATCCATCCAGGCTTAAATAGATTATAATCTCTACCTGGTATTTAGTATTTTCCATTTGTCTCTGAAAAACTTCCAGGCAAGATCTCGACCATGTGGATTTCTGGCTACATGAATTATGACATCAATTGCATCTTGATCCAACACCACCTCAGAATTCAAAGACAGATTTAGAAGCCTATAACGATAAAAGTGTGGATAAAAAACTTTTAGTCTAAAAATGTAAACACTTTATAATAAATTTACAATTTAGTTATACTCTTCAAAAATACTTGAGTTAAAACTTTCCCAACGAACAATTACAGAAAAATTTGTTTAGAAAACACCGATAAAATTTATAGCACTTTCAATAAATACACTAATTAAACTCCAAGAATATCTATGGGATGGGAAAAATCAAAAAGTTTATTTGTTGACACAACTCCTCTCTCAAATTCATCACATTAAATATTTTCTTTTACAGTGGAATATTTTCTCAAACACATATAACATTTATAAAATAATTAGTTATAATTCATGTTATCTTTCAAGTCAAGTTACTTACTCATTTCACCATGAAGGTTTTCTTCTCTCTAGAAAGATGTGTTCTATAACATCAACTTTTACAATACTATATATTCAAGGAAATAAAATCAACTCCAGTGCATTTTTCTTGTAGATGATAACGTTCATTACAAATATAACCTGAGACATTTAATGGACTCACCTATTTAGTAAATTCCTATCATCGCTGCAAGTTAGAGCCTCCAGTAGGATCTTCTTCTCCGAAACTGCAGTGGTGGAGTGGAACTTCATCCAGATGAACTCCCAGACATCCTCATCCAGCAACGATACCCCTGTGCAGTAAACGATGTCTCGAACATTCAGTGGTATTCTAAGGAAGCAACCCGTGGTGGATTTCTGTTAATCAAAAGCTTCAAGGTTTTGAAAATAAAGACCAAAGTTGCTTGCTTACCACCAGCTATCTAAAAGATGATTTGCCAATTACATATTTCCTAAAACAATGCAATACTATAGAGTAATAATGTCTGAATATATTGGTGACTAGAAAATAAAATCAAGTCTTTTATTCCATGGAAGTTTTGGATATAATTTTTGCTTGCGGCCAAAGCATCATCATTAAACTGACTAACAACAAAAGCCTTGTTAAAGAACTAAAAATAAAGTACTTTATATTTTAAATGGTATTCACTGAATAACTATATGAAAATTTTCTTTCATAATAGATACACTCAGAACTTTAGTTAAACACTAGTATGCTTAAAGCAGTGTGGGAAAGCAGATGGAAGTCTGAATATCTACTAGTGAGGGGACAGGACTCCTTCCCAGTCGTTCTAAAAGGTTTCTCATAGGAGAGAACTCTTTCCCTCCACAGTGTTAACAGGCAAGTTTTTGTTCATCTGTTTTTTTAAAAGGTTAAAAAAAGATAGTAGATGGCTAATTTATTGGAATAAAGACAACCATTTAATTTTAAATTGTCACAAAAATCTATTAAAAATAATTTGTATGTGTGAAGGTCTGATGTATATAACTGTAGTAGGCTTGTGCAAGAATCTGGAAAGATCAGAAGAGAACATCTGGTCCTTCGGAACTGGAATTACAGGGTGAGAGTCACCTGAGCTGATTTCCAAGAATTGAACCCAAACCAAGTCTTCAAAAAGAACATAATGTTCTTTTAATAATGGAACCATCCATTCAGCACTAAGGAACTTTCATGTGACTAGTAGAAGGGATAGAACCCATGACCTTGGTGCTATTAGCACCACACTCTAAACCATTGAGTTAACTGGCCACCCTTATATTTTTATATTATTATCTAGAAGTAATTTCCTCAAACAGTATAAATAGAGAATCATAAATTTAATGATAAATAATAAGACATAACTAACAAAGACCTTTCCACTATGTTTATATAGTTATTATAAGATGATAGTAAACTATTACTTTGACTACAAACTAAAAAGTCAGAGAAAGAAAACTTAGCATGAATTTAGTTAGGCTTGGCAGTTCATGAATTATGAACTCGGAAGTCAGCTTGCTCACAGTGGTGTTCCATGATACACCACGTTTCCTGGCTCTTTAAAATATTTCTCCTAAGAAAGACTTTTTAAAAACTGAAAAGTGTACCTCTCTTTTTGTAATATTTATTAGTCTATTAGTTATACTTCCCATTCATAGTTTGAATGTGACTACATGGAGGATTATCTTGTCCATGTCACGTGAAGAAACAATTTTTTTTTTTTTTAAGATTCAGAACTTCTGCTAAACACTAGTATGGTTAGAGCAGCACAGGACAGCTGACGTAAGTCTGAGTGTCTTCTAATGACGGGATAGGACTTCTTCCCAGGGGTTCTGAAGGGCTTCCCACAGGAGAGAACCCTTTCCCTCCACAGTGTTAGCAGGCAAAGTTTTATTCATCTGATTTTTTTTAAAAGGTGAAAAGGAGGAGGAGGATGAAGGTAGAGCCCACACATTGGATGACTTCACAGCTTAATTTTGCTTTCTAGCTCTGGATCCCAAATAGAAACTGTCAAGCAGAGGTTTCCAGTTATGAGTTGGTGACAAAAGATTCCTTTTTTTTCTCTTTATGGTCAGCTTGCCATAATGTATACTTAAATTTACGAAGAAAAGTACTATTACTATTTTTTTAGGGAAAGCATTTATTAGTAATCTATCTATCTATTTATCTAGCTATCTATTTATGATTTTTTGAGACAGTGTTTCTCTGTGTAGCTTTGGTACCCATCCTGGAAGTAGCTCTTGTAGACCAGGCTGGCCTCGACCTCACAGAGACACACCTGCCTCTGCCTCCCAAGTACTGGGATTAAAGACATGCATCATCACCGCCAAGTAAAAGTAATTATTCTTAATAGGTATAATTTAAGATCAGCTGAATGTCATCAATGAATCAGCACTTATACACCAGGATGGGTCTTCTTTTCAAATACAACGAGAAGTAGAGGCTAACACTGCATGACTGCATGACTTTGACCAAGATATTGGCACAGAACTTTGCAAGTAAAACCCAAAAATCTTTAGCATTTCTACTGAAACCACTAATTCATCAATCAATATTAGATGTTAGAAACAGTTTATTTTCCAAGAGAAATTCATGAAGATATTGACATCTCAAAGATAAGATGAGACTAGAGCACAGTTACTTAGGATTTCCATTACTACTGAACTAGTATTCATATTAAACATTCCCTAAATAAAAGTAAAAAATTAGAGAAAAGAAAAAAATTAAGCAGTAAATGTTTAACTATATTCCCTAGAAATTTCATGAATATTACACTACAGCCACTAGCAAAGACTGTTTCATTTATCTTCTAGAGGCGACTACTGGCTAAGACAGTTAAACTGTGTAACACACACACACACACACACACACACACACACACACAAATGAACACATGGTTTGACCATGACAACATCTTACAGACATTCTAAAGAGTCATCAGAAGCCAAAAATAACATTTTGTAGAATGCCATGTCCTGAGTTATTCTTTATGTAGTCTGTGCCTGAATTATTTTTGTCAACATCTAATGTCTGCCTTATATCTGTGTCGTCAACTACTTTTTTATAGCAGAAAGGACTCTGGGCTGAGAAGGAATATTTTCTACCATAAAAGTATAGTTATTTTCCACTATTGCTAGACGTCTTAGCTGGCATCATCTTTGTGGATTCCTGGGAGTTGCCTTGGCACTAGGTTTCTCCCTAACCCCAGAATGGACATCAGTCAAGATATTTCTTGCATTATTCTTTCTGTTCAACCCATCGCAATTCGCCTCACCTGATCCCTCTTGTTCCCAGACCACCACCTTATGCTCGCCCCCGGAATATCTCTATGGGAGGCCTGCCCCTTTCAGAATGGAAACTATAGAGGAGGAGTGGATGGAGAGGGTAGAAGGGAAGTGGGGGGGATATAATGGGAGGAGAGGAGGTCGGGTATACTGTGGTTGGTATGTAAATTAAATGGAAGCATTTAATAAAAATATATAAAATAGAGTTACTTACAAACTTTGTGTACATGAGTCTGCTCTACCTTAGACATGAGTGATGCTAATGGTTGTGGTGTATCTCTGTATAAGTTCCTTGAAATTCATTGTATTCTGGGTCCTTCAACTTCTTGGACCTGCATGAAAATTTCCTCCTACAGACTAAGGAAGAGTCAGTCACTGTATTCTTCAGACAACATTCTGGTCCTGTTTTTTCGGTTTTTCCCTCCTGGACTAGAGCAGGGTTTGTGTTGGTCTGCTTGGTGGCTTTCTCAATGTCCCTTCATCTTTCTTTACACCTTCCCTTCTCTGTAAATCTTCTCTGTGATAATTACTTCTCAGGATCTGCCTTTAGTTTGCTGATGATTCTGACTGCTTCCATCTGCCGATGACGCCTTCAAGTGAATTGCAGTTCAGCTATTCCTTTCCATGCCCTATTGGTGCTTTGAAGTATTTTTAGTCTTTCTTAAAATTCTGGCTCTACTTTTAATTTCTCTTAGCTCAAGTGAGCAAACACACTTATGATGGCGATTTTGCATTTACAAATAAACAATCAGATGTTTCATTAAGGAAGATTTTTCTAGATGTGTCTGCTTACTTCTTCATTTTCTGACTTCATAATTTATATGAGTTTTTCACACCTCACTCCTCATTGCACATGTCCCTAGAGAAGCTTCATATGGGAGAAGACCTATATAAACTGGCTGGAGATTCTGGAAGGTTTCTACCACGCAGATCCTTCTCAGGAAAGAAGAAGATCGCTGTGGCTTTTGATGGCCCACTCTATGCTGAATATATGTCTAACAGTCCAATCCACTGTCTCCATTTTCCCATAGGTGTCTGGATCATATTAGATGCATCAGGAGTCCATGTCTAGAAAGCCTGATGCTCTCTTTGGAAATAGAATCAGAGAATCTGAGGCATTGTGCACACAGGTTAATGCTTTTCCCAGAGGGAAGCTAACAGTTGGAATCCTCACCTACTTTGGGTCTATGTTGTCCAGTGGGGAAGGTACTTGACACTTTCTTTTTTATTGTTATTTTTATTACTCTATACATTTTTTCACCCATCTCCCTTCCTTCCCCTCCACCTCTATCCTCTCCTGTAACGCCCATGCTCCCAATTTATTCAGATCTTTTCTTTTTCCCCTTCCTACATAGATCCATGTACATTTCTCTTCTGGTCCTCTTTGTTATCTAGGTAATCTGGGGTTATGGACTGTAGGCTGGCTTTTCTTTGCTTTAAATCTAGAAGTCACTTGTAAGTGCGTACGTATTACATTTGTCTTACTGGGTCTAGGATACCTTCCTCAATATGTATTTTTTCTAGATCCATCAGATCAAAACTTGATGGCAGCTTATGCTGGAGAGGAAGTGGGGTAAAGGAAAACTCCTTCATTGCTGGTGGGAGTATAAACTTGTATAGCTGCTTTGGAAATCAGTATGGCGATTTCTCAGAAAATTAGAAAACAGTCTACCTCAGGACCCAGCAAAATTGCTGTTGGGTATATAATCAAAGGATACTCAATCATACTAAAAGGTCATGTGCTCAACTATATTCATAGCAGTATTATTTGTAATAGCCAGAACATGGAAAAGCCTAGGTGCCCCTCATCTGAAGAATAGATAAAGAAAATGTGGTACATTTACACAATGGAGTACTGCTCACTGGTAAAAAAAAAAAAAAAGACATCTTGAAATTTGCAGGTACTCTGCACTTTCTAGTCCACAGCTGCCTCAGAACTCTGTTGGTGGTTAACCTCTCTCAGATCTATCAGAATTCTTAAGACTGGTGAAACAGATCATACAAGATCAATGCATCTTTTAAGAGTGCACCATAAATTTCTATGGGTATGACCAACATGTAATTCTCTGA